TTCTTAATCAAATAAACATTTTTTCTTAGATTTTAATATTGTTTTCATAAATCTCCCATACAAATTTCTCAATAATCAAATCTGAATAGGAATTTGCTAAAAACACCAAATCATAATTCTTATTATCAAAAAAACTTTGAGAATTAAAATAATCTATTTCAATTCACATTCGATTCCTTCGATTTCTTCACATTTTCTACTTTCCTTATTTTCCTGAAATCCTATAGGACAATCTTCTAAACATTTCCCATTTAAATAAAAAAAGGAATTTGCACAAAACTCACAATTCTCCCTACATTCAACACATGTATCCACATCCACCAAATATCCACTTGGACATACTTCCACGCAGGAAAACAAAGATTTAATAAGGTAAAATTAAGGTAAACATAAATTACAATTACTCTCATTTCCACTACATTATAGGCATTTCTCATCACATTTCAAACACACATTCCCTTTTAAATAAAAAGAACTCCTACATTAATTCACACAAACTCCTTCTTCTACAAAAAAGCCTTCCTATTAGCATTCTAAGCAATCATAAGAGAACGGTCCATCACATTTTTTACATTAAAGGTCACATTTTTCGCACTTTCTATTTACAAGATTTCCAAAATATGAATCCCCACAATTTGAAACACATTAAGATGAATTTTCTTTCTAATAAAAGTTATTTATACATAAAATACATTATAATTCAGATGATATGCATTTTTCACAGTTTTCAATTTAACACTTAATACATGTATTTATTGATTATAAATAGTAACCTTTACTACATTCAGTACATTTATTAGCTTCCTGAATACATTATCTACATTATTAATCGCATTAAATACATTTCCTTTAAGAAACATTACCATAAAATCCTCCAGGACAATTTAAAATACATAATTTTTCATAAAAAAAATAATCTTATATACAATTTAAACAATATATTCCATCTTCTTAACATTCATCACAACCTAAAGGACATTCTTTGCACTTTTAATTATAAAAATAGTACTTTTTATTACATTGAAAACATTAATTGTCTCTTGGTCCAAAACATTCTTTACAACTAATATGGCAATCTAATATAATATTAAATATATATAGTATTTAATAATAATTTATATATTAATATATATATATATATATATATATATAGTATTTACTTAAGCATTTATTTACTTATTAATCTGGATAAGTACCATTTATGCATATATCTTTTATCACACATTAATTGTCTTTTAGAAAAAAACCAGTAATACATCCTGTACATTCATTAGGCTTATCTCCTGTGCATTTTAAACAATTATCAGCGCATTTTTCACAGATCAAATTTTTCCCAAAAAAGCTGTCCGGACATTCTTTTAGACATTTATTTTGGTAAAAGAAGAAGCCATTTTTACATTAAAAACATTCAAAAGGATTATTTTTACAAGAAACGCATATTTCACTACACTATGAACATTTTCCCTGATTTAAATCATTAAAAAAGCCTAAAGGACATTCATTTATACACTATAAATTATATGCGAAAAGTCCATTTTTACATTGAGTACATGAAGTGCTTTTATCTTAACATTAGATACAGTTTCCTTCGCAAATTAAACATTATCTATTTATTGAATCTATGAAAAAAAAAGGTGGACAAGAACTTTTATATATACATTTATTTTTAAAAAGAACTAATTCTTCCCCTTTTTCATCTAATTATACACATGAATTACATCTATTTTTTTCTTTTTCACATAAAATACATGGAAATTCACATGATTCGCATTTTAGAGAATTCTCGTTTGCAAAAAAACCATCTGGACATTTATCTAGACATTGTTAATTATATAGAAAAAAACCAAATATGCATGAAAAACATGAAAAATTGGAATTATCCTACTTTTCGCATTCAAAACAACCGTTTTCGCATTTTTTACATATAAATTTTCCGTCTAAAAAAACTTTAAAATAACCAATATAACATTATTTTAAGCATTTCCCATATTATACACCATCTAAATAATACTACAAATAATATTAAATAAATTTATATTAAGTACATTCATAACACATATTAATATTTTCATTTTCACATTTAGAACAAATCGGATTACATTGGGAACATTCTCCATTTTCTTAATCATTAAAAAAGCCTATATAATGTCCATCTTCCCATATATCTAATTAAGGAGCTATTTGGGTCTTACAATCATCATAGCAAGTAACGTTTTAACCATAATTTAGCCTTATATTGCCTTTATATTTACCTTGTTTACATATTCTGCATTCATCTACTGATGGACCATTGCAAAAAATGCAATTAATGTGACAAGGATGACATATATTTTCGTTAGGTTTAAAATAATATCCTTCTGGGCAAAAAACTAAGCAAGTTTTCCTAGCTAAGATTTATTAAATTTCAAAATATTAACTTTTGCACATTAAACAATCTTAAGAAGTATTCCCTAGACACCCTTGGCAATATTCATGACACAACTCACATTGTTAAGTATTTTTATTAGCAAAATGAGTATCAGGACATATTTATATACACTAAGAATTAATCAAAAAACTATTATCGAAACATGAACTACATAAAGTTCCTTAATATTAGGTATTTTCTATTTAAGAAATACATGTTTTGCATTACTAAGAACATTTAAAGCATATTGTATATGAGTCTTAAAAAGAATTCCCATTTTTAAAATATCCATTTTAACATTAAGTTGATATTTCAGTTTCTGAAAGTGAACTATTATTTGATATTTCTTAATATTTTATAGTATTATATTTATCAGCTTATATACATATACCTTTTTCACATTTTATACATCCTTAATAACATACTAATAATATATATAATATATAATATATATATATATATATATATATATATATATTTATATATTTATATATAATTAATATTTATAATTATACAAACACAAATCTTCAATATATTATCTACTTTATATCCACCTTATATTTAATATTTTTCTTCTCCTACATAATATTCATCTATACAATCTAATGAACAACCACGTTTGTTATTTTTTTAATCTATAAATAGGAAAGGTATTTCATTTTCATTACATTCTAAACAAAATGTATCTTAATCAATACATTATATACAATTTTTATGACATTTTTAACATTATAAAGTAAATTTATTTCCATAATAGCCCTATGGACATTATTCATAACATAAATTTATGTTTTCTAATTTCTCAAAATAATAGTTTGTTATCATTATATTTAAAGGGTCTATATAAGGCAGTGTACATATGTCACATGTTAATTATTTCTAAATATTATATGAACATACTTAACATCCTTTATTGAATATATTACAGTCTTTTTTAATTAATTTTTTTTGTTTGTCAATATTATTATTTTTTATTTATATTTATACTTTCACATCTTTTTCCTTTTTCTGTTAAAACTAATGATGTCTTATAATATCCTAAATCACATTCATCTACACATTTACCATTAAGTAAATATTTAGTATTACATTAAGTACATATTTAAGGTTGTTATTATAAACATTAAAGACAATCATTAATATTTGAGCAAGGATTACATATATTATTTTATAAAAAATAACCTTCTTTACATTCTTAACAAATACTTAAAGATGTGCATTTTTTGCATTTTTTTTAGTCACATTCTTTATTATTTTTTTATATATTAATAAATAAAATTACATTAACATATTCCGTTTGTATATATTCCATTTAATAATGTTCCCTCTATGTAAAATTAATCAGGGCATGATTAACAATTAAACCTTTAATTTTATAGACAAGTTTTACAATTTCCTTCACAAACTAAATCTATTTATGTATAGATATTTATATATATATACATAATTTTTGTATTTTTTATTACCATAACATATATTTAATATTTTATCTTTTATTTATGTTTATTAATTTGAACATTAATTAATCATACATTTATTAAAATATGATAATATATATTCTTTTTAGCATTTAATGCATTTTATGTTAGTATCTTTTTCATTTAAAGAGACTATATATAAACTACAATTGCTTATTTATTAATTAATATCAATTTAATTTGAACTTAATAATGTATATCCTTAAAAAAGGAATAAATTAGCAATTTTAAAAGAACTTTTGGATTTAAATTTAATTTAAAAAAGCTTATTTTTGAAATTAAAAGGAAACGAAATTTAAGAATTACTAATTATATTATTATTAGTATTTTGTTATTCGTTTTCAAAAAAAAGCCTAAAAATAATTCTCGATAAATCATTGAGTTTAAAAATTTGTAATCTAAAAGTATTCCATGTATTTTTTTATAAAGTAAAATTATTTTTATCCACAAAATAAAAATCACCATTAAAATCAATAACTAATTGGTCATAAATAAATAAAATTTGAAATTTTTCAGAAGATCCTTATTACTTTTTTTAATATTTATATATATATACATTTATTAATTATAGTATTTTTTTTTTAAAAAAAAATACGCAAAATATTTAAAATAAATTATTTTTCAAAATATTTCTTTAATCAATAATATTAAAAGAAAATTAAATATATATAGAATCTTCTAAAATAAATTATTATTCAATGATGAAGTCCTCATCTTCATAATAAATACTTCCTAATTAATCAATAGAATTATATTTAACATAAAATAAATTTTATTATGACATATATACAAGTGAATCTATAAAATCTAAGTCATTTATATACGAATTAAAATATATTCGTGGATAAGCTATTTATCCAACCCAATTAATCGCGTCAGGTCTCAAAACACCACCTAAATAAATTGATATATTTTATCCAAAAACATCCGAATAACCAAATAAACCTAAACTAGTATTCTCATTATATATACTTTTAAATTAGTTTGTTCTTAACAAAAAGCAAAACATTTTATTATTTTATTATATTATTTAATCAAATTAACGTGAATGTAGAATAAAAAACCATTCTTCATCATCTATAAACTATTAAAAAAAAAAAATCAAAAAAAATTAATATATATATATATATATATATATATATATATATATTATTTATTACTTCATTTGTTTCAAATTTTTATATATTATCATTTTCATTATTTTTTGTTTATGATGATGTTTTAAATATACAAATATTTTTTTGTATTTCGAACATTAATTTTATATTTCCTTCTTAAGGTAATATACTCCCATATCTTTTTTTTTTATTTTTATTTATTCAAATTTATTTATTATTTTTACTATGATGAAGATATAAAATATAAAGGAATTGTTTTATCATCTGTGTTTTCGTATATAATTTTTTTTTTTTTTGCCCATAGAGATATTGATATTGATTTATGGTTTATTATTTCTTAATTTTTTATTTAATATTTAGTAATAGTTGTTGGAAATTATATATTATCATAATCTCTAATATTTTCAGTGAAAATTTATTAATATCCATTTTGAAAGAGTATCGTTTATATTTCTTTAATTTTTATTATCTATATAATTATTTTTATTTAATACTTTAATATAGAAAGGAGATTAAAAGCATATTTATAAATTTCATTTTTTATCTGAAAAAAAAAAAAAAAAATTTAGAAATTTACTTTATTTTTTTTGAACTTTTAAATATATTAAACAAAAATATAAAAATTTCTGTTTTAAATTTTCAATAAAACACAAAAAAAAAAGCAGTATCTTTATTATATATTAACAAAAAATAAAGAAAATATGAAAAAATTAATACCAGCCATTTTATCAGATATAGACGGAGTTTTAGTAAGAGGAAAAAATCCAATTCCAAGAACTTAATATGCTTTAAATTATATAAGATAATCATTAAAAAAGATATATAAAAATACATAAACCCCCTATATAGATAATGAAAATATTCCATTTTTATGTTTAACAAACGGTGGGGGTATACTTGAATAGGAAAAAGCTGATTAATTGAATGATATATTAAAATTAAAAGATAATAAATTAGATTATAGTAATATTATATTAAATTATACTCCTTTACGTCCTATATTAAGCTAATATAGCGATAAATTTATAATATTAGGAGGCAAAGGTAAATTAATCGAAATAGCGGAAAGTTGTGGATTAAAGTAATTTTTGACTATTGAAGAATTCGCTTCAATTTACCCAAAATATTTTTAAGAAAGATAAAGAATTTAACAATTTAAAGCTTTTGAAATAGCAAAATAAAGATTTTAGTAAACCAATTCTGAAATATTTTTACACATACCACCTGCAGTACATGGAATTTTTATACTTAATGATCCTTTGTTTTGGGAAGATAATATTTAATTAATATTAAACTATACTGTAAAAGCTAATAAATTGCCTAGTTTTTTTGATATTAATAGAATTGTAAATATAAATAAGATTTTTTATTAATATATATATATATATAATAAGTAATAATAAGTTCCTTTATATGTAGTTAATAATGATTTAACTTATGCTGATTCTTTTCGATTAAATAGATTGGCTTTTGGAGCCTTTAGTATAGCAGTTATTTCTATAGCAGAAAAAATTTATAATAGAAATATTTAAATGTAGGTTTATGGAAAACCTTCATTTTAAACTTACGATTATGCAAGTTTATATATTTTATATGCATTTATATGTATATTTTTATCAAATTAAAGAAAAAAAACTATAAAATATGAGTTAATCGTAAATTGGAAATATTTATATGATAGGAGATAATCCAAAAAGTGATATAAAGGGTGGAAATGAAAATGGATGTATTACTATTCTAGTTAGGTATTTTTTATTTTATTTATAATTATTTATAAAAAAATATGTATATATAAATAAATATATAAATAAATATATAAATAAATATATAAATAAATATATAAATAAATATATAAATATTTATATATATATTATAGAAGCGGTGTTTTTTAAAAAGTGATAATGATTATGAAAATCCAGGAAACTATGTAGTTGATGATTTTTATGAAGCTATATAGAAAATATGTGAATTGGAAAATATTCCTTTTTAACCTTTAATGTGAATAATATTTATATATTTTTTATATTTTTCAATATTTTGAATATTTTTTTTTATTATTTGAAACATTTTATTTTAAACATTTAACCAAAAAAAAAAAAAGAATAAAAAAAAAAAAATTTATAAATTTAAATAAAAAAAAAAGATTTTTTGTTTGTTTAATCATTATTATTATTGTGGATTATATTATTCTCTGTATTTTTAAAAATCATTTAAAACAATATTATAAAACTTAGCATTTTCTATAGTTTTGAGTTTTGTTTGACAAAAAACAAGATGAGAATTTAAAGTTTTTAATATTTTTCCATCTTTCAAATCTGGATATTTACTCTATAATCCATTTATAGCATCAATAAGCATTTTTGTATTATTTTCATTTAATTAATTCATTATTTTAGGTATATTAGCAAAAATAGCATCTTCAAAGAAATTAATATTATCCTAAAAAAACAAAAAACAAAAAATATAAAAAAAAAATAATCGAGAAAAAAAATTTAAAAAATACCACAAAATTTAATTTTGGATAAATAGTTAACATTTTAGCAATATTTTCAGGTCCGAACCATACATTTCTTCTCCAAAAAAGCATATGGAAATGTTATTCGAATAAATATTCATTAAGTAAATTATTCTAAATACATAATTCAAAACACTAAGTAACATGATTAGGTGTCATTTAATGTAAATGAATAGGCAATAATTCCTGTAATTTATTTTTAAATTCTTCAGTACATCTGTTTTCCTTTTCTAAAAATGCTATAAAGCAGTACCCGAATGCTTTATGGTTAAATTTAGGGTAACATTTTTCTACTTAGGTTTATATTTTGTTCCATAATTCATCATCTTCAATTTTCAATCTCTATATCGCTATTATTATATAAGTAACAACTGAAGAACTATACTATGGTAGCATTTATTTTACATGTTGAATCGTTTAATTTACCCATTCATGTTTATTCCAATCAATGTCTTATATAAATAATATATATATATATATATATATATATATATATATATATATATATATATATATATATATATATATATATATATTTATTTCATTTAATTATACCTGAAGATCCTTCTCTTCTTGATAATTCTATTAAAGCAGAGCATAATTCCGATGGTCTTAAATTTTTGTACTATTCTAAATATAATAATATTTCGTTTCCAGATAATAATTTAAAGTTTATATAATCGTGAAAAGCTACATTGATTGGATGCTTTTAAGGACGATATATGTATCTGAATTTAAGTGGTATATTTAATGGGAAAACTAAATTTGGCTTGGTTAAATCTATGTTTCTTATACGAGAAGTTAATCTGTATTTTTCTGGTTGGCTTTTATATTTTTTAATTTATAAACGTCTCTTTTAGTTTGCGCTGTATCTTTTAATTGAATATTATTGGATATTATGCAAATATTTTTAAATTATAATGTTTTATTTAAATAATATATTCATATTTTTCTTATATAAATAAATATTTTTTTGATGTATATATATATCTTATTATTTTATTTTTTGCAAAAAAAAATTAAATTTTTTTTATAAAAAAAAAATTATTTTAAATAAAATACTCTATTTATATTTTTAACATATTTATTAATTTTAATACTTTATATATTTTCATTATTATTTCTAATATTTTTTGTTAATAAAAAATATAATTTTTGTAAAAAAAAAATTTAATATTCCAAATTTTAATATAAAATATGTATTCTCAATATTTAAAATAATTAGTTTTAAACTTTATAAATTTAAATAAAAATAAGATATTAAATAAATATATATACATATATATTAATTAAAATATATTTATTTATTTTATTATATTTATTTATTTTATATATTTTTTTTTTTTAATAAAAAATATAGTATTTTTTTTTATTTTAAATTAATATTAATTGAAACCATAAATTATATTTTTTAGATATTAATAATTTTAATATATTGTATTTTTATTGTAAAATATAAATATATTATTCCCTTTAGTGTTGCCACTTAATTCTAAATAAAAAAGTGGGGTCAGATAGGGGATAAATTAATCTAGAGGAAATATTATTTTAAAAGAAATAAATTAAATATTTATCCTTTAATTTTATCCTCTATCATATCTAATTTATTTTAATACTTACTTTTTTTTTTATTATTAATATAAAAAACTAAATCTTATTTCTAATATAAAAATATATATATTCTTTCATTTTTTATTGCACATAAATATTTTAGTATTTAATCAATTTTTTATTTATTTTATTTAACAAAAAAATAATCAAAACACATTTATATATTATTAATAAAAAAAAAATATAGAAAAAATGGATGAAATAACATAAGCATTTCATGATTTAGGAGTTCTTCTTTTATTAGAAAATCCTTAAGGTATTCATTTTGGCATAGACAATACTATATGGAAAGTATCTGAAAAGTTTAAAGGAATAAAAATGATTCCGCATGGTACTCATTATATTCATTATACCCTTGAAAGCGAATAAAACATGTTTAAATTGGGTTTTTTCATAAATATATCGCCATAAAAACGTATACACGTAAGAAAATGGGATAATGATTCACAAGATTATATCAATTTACCTTTAGAAGATGAAAAGAGATATATTTAAGGCGTCTAAAGTTACTAATTCGATTCATATTTAGGTCCTTATCCCATAGAAAGATTCCAAATATGGCAGGAATGTTAAAATTATATAAGTAAAGAAGTCTTAGACGAACTAAATCCAATAGAAAAACAAATGTATTAAATAGAATAAGAATATAAACAAAAAGATGATATAAAGGTAATCGCAGGAACCATATATTATAGTGATATTCCTAAAATGTATAATAAATATGGATTAAATGGGGAAAATTTAACAAAATATAATATAGATAAAAGTTTTTTTTTAGAAAAATATATGGAAAAAAAAGATTATAAATTCCTTTTGGGAGAATTTTAATATGCATTTATAATGTTTTTAATAGGAGAAGATTTTAATAGTTTAGAATAATGGAAAAAGTTATTTATAATAATAATTTCAAGTGATATGTATATGGAAAAAAATACTGAATTTTATATAGAAGTTATACCAGTTTTATATAATATGTTAAAATAATTTCCAAAAGTAATATATAGATATATATATAAAATATAAATATATATATATATATATATATATATATATATATATATATATATATTTTAATTAATATATTTTTGAAAGGATTTTTTCTTAGATACTATTTCTAAAGACAATTTTTTAAATGTTACTTTATGTGAATTTATAGAAAATGGAATCGAATAAACAAGAAGTAAAAAATTATAGAATAGAGTTTTAAAATTGAAAGAAATGTTAAACGATCATTTTTTATTTTTCCCAAAAAAAGAAATTATTTAATAAGAAAATGGAAAATATATATTTGATATATAAAACGATGAAAATTTCCCTTAAATAGTTGACGAAAATTATAATTATTTTTGAAATATTTATATATATATATTTTTTTTGTTATATTTTTTTTTTTTTTTCATTTTTTTATTTCTTCTTATTATTATTATTCTTAATTTTCTTTTTATTCATCTTCATCTTCTTCTTCTTCATCTTTTTCTTTTTTTTTTTAATATCTTCTTCATTTACATCATACAATATTTCGTTAATTTTATTTCTAAAATGTTAAGTATCTGCGAACTCTATGATTTCAGGTTCCGATTGACTTAATATTTTTGAATATACTACAAGTATTTTCGGTTTGACTACTACATCTCCATTTACTTTTAATCCTTTTTGTATTACTCTCTATACATATAATCTGCTATTAAGCTAGAATTAAATTTAATCCAAATTTAAAGGAATATGTATATTCTCATCAAAAAATTCACCTGCATCGGGATTATAAATTTTAGAGTTATTATTTTCAATGGCTTTTTCTAAAATCTTCCATGTCATCTCTATTCCTTGATAAAAATCGTCTTTTTTATCTTCATCTTTATTTGGGTTTTTTTCTAATATTTTTTCCAACTTTTAATATATATGGAACATTGATTTGGAAAAAGCCAATATTTTATCATCTTTTATTTAATCGTTTCTTAATTAAACAAAAAAACGTAAAATCTATTCTTCGGATTCTTCTTTAACTTTTTATATTTCCTTTTTTTTTAAATCTACTTCATATTGTTTTATTTAATTTTTTATATCTTATATCTTATTTTTTGTATTCTTATAAATAAATATGTTATGCTTTTTTTATATTACTTATTAGTCTAATTCTTATATCGATTATTTTTAGTCTTGGATTTCTTGTTAGGTTAATTATATTAAATTTGTAGCTTTTTCTATGGAATTTTTTGTATTTATTCCTGTTTTTTTTATTTTTTTTACTAATTCCATTTTTATTTTTTACTTAATAAATCTTCTAGTTCATCAGGTAATTAATCAATTGGAATTTATGCATTTTTTTCGCCTTCTTCAAGTTTCCATAAAAAACTTTTTTTTTTTTTTTTATTTTTTATTTTTTTAAATAAAAATATCTTAATAATGCATATAAAAATAGCTTTTATTTTTATATTCACTTTCTTTAAATTGAAAAATTAAGCTTTTTAAGTTTAAATTGTTTAAAAACGGATGCCTTTTTTGTAAATTTTAATAAGGAATACATTATTTTTATCCTAAATAAATATTTTATTTTATTTTTTTATAAGAGGAGGAATTAATTAAAAAATATATTTTTGTATTATATTAAATATATGTGTTAGAAAAATAAATAAGAATTAAAAAATAAATATATTAAAAAAAAATATTATTAAATATAAACTTATTATGTATTTTTATTATTAAATAATCTTAAATTATTTAATAAATATTAGTTGTTTATCTAGTTTTTATCTAAAGATTTAATGTAATATTATAAAATTTCTACTTAATATTTTTATTAAAAAGTACTTTTTAATAAATTTATTTAATCTCTAAATATTTTTATAAATTAAAAGATTTATAGCTTTCAATAGAAATTTCCTTGATTAATGTATATATATAACTAATAATTAATAATAAAAATATAAACTTTAATAACAAATTATATACTACTTTTAACATCATTTAATTATTAATTTTTCAACAAAATTATTTGGAAAAAAAAAAAAAACTCAATTGACTGAAAAATATATATATTTTTATTTCTTTAATTATTAGATATTTTTATTTTTTTTTAACAATAATAATAAAATTATAATAAATATATATATACTTATAGTTAGTTTTTTTATAGGCTTTAATATTTTATTTTCTTGAATTTATTTTTAGGAGCATTATATATTTATATTAGTGTATATTTTTTTAAAATTTATAAATGAATTTATTTTATATCTTTATAATTTAAAAATTTATTTAAATATTAACTTTTTAAAATATTTATTATAAAAACAATTAAATGTTTTCTTATATATTCTTCTTTTGTTATAATAAAATATTTATTTATATATTTTTTATTCGTTTGTTTTTTATAATTAAATAATTAAGACAAAAAGAAAACAAAAAAACAAAAAAAATCTATTCTATAGAAACTAGATTAATTTATGAATTAATAATATTTAAGATGATAAAATACACAATAAAAAAGTTCATATTTTTATATATTTTATTTAATATATTTTTTTTTTAAAAAAAAAAAGAAAATACTTAAGTTTATTATTATTATATTATTATAATAAAGGTATAAAAAAAAATGAAGATATTAAAAATACAATAAATAAAATATAAATAAATTTACATATATATTTATATATGTATAATTATATATTTACATATATTTATATATATATATTTATATATATATTTATATATATATAATAGAATATTCAATATTTTATAATAACATTGTTTTCAATAAATTCCCCACTTCTTTTATCAATAAACATTTGTGAATTTTTTACATTAAAATTATTATTGTTTTAAATTTACCCAAATCTATCTTTATTTTACCTATAAAAAATTAAATAAATACTCATAGGACCACATAAATATACTAAGCTTTTTAAAACTATAAAAAAAACTGTTAAAAATATATTTTCGCTAAAAAAATACATATTACACTCAACAAGAGTAATGCTATATTTATGAGCTAAATAATCCCAAATAAACATTATAATAGAAGGAACAAAATTGCCTCCTATTAATATTTTTAACTAAAAAATGCTTTTTTGTATATTTTCTTTACAAGAGCCTTCATTATTTTCTTCAGCTTTTATTAATTTAATAGTATTTAATCCAAAATAAAGCAATATGAAAGAATAAAACAAAGACGAACCTGAAATTAATAAAAAATCAATTCTTTTGCAATTATAAGGGGCTTTAGGGTTATTTTTATGTAAATAAGCGCAAAAAAACCATAAAGAAATTAAATAGACGAAAGTTAGTCTCATTATATTATAATATTTATATTTTTTATCTTATTCTTAATCTAGAAAACATTAAATTATATAACATGAAATTATACAATTCGAGAAAAAAAAACTCCGGGCGGTAAAAAGAATAAATTAATTATGAATTATTATATATTAAAGAAAATGTAAAAAGGTCTATATTAAAGATATTGTTAACATTATTTTATCAAAATTATCTAATATTTTATTTTAATCTTTTTATATTATTATGTAAGCGTGTAACATGTATATTAATGTAATTGCTAAAATTATAAATAAGGTTATACATTCGATTGATCCGCTTATATTTTCGGGGGATGTTTTATATATGTTTGATATTATTAACATTTTTTTATTATTTGTTAAAGCTTTTTTATTAAATATATATATAATTTGATTTTATTTATATAAAAAAGAGAATTTCATAAATATATATATATATATATTTTTTTTTTTAAAAAAAAAAAATTCTATATTAATATAAATATTTATTTAATTAAGATTCTTTGAATTTATCAAAAAAAATAAAAAAAAAATAGAAAAAAATCAGTCTTTATATTTTATATGTTTAAATATAAAAAATCTTATTAAAAATAAATATATAAATATGTAAATTTAAAAATATAATATATGCTTTTATTAAATTAAACTATTATTATATAATAATATAAAGTTCCCTAATTTTTAGCGTTTTTTTTAATTAAAAGTCATAATATTAATTATTTATATATTCAATTCAAAGAAAATCATGAAAAAAAATAAATAAATAAAATTTAATTATATAAGAAAATAATTATATATATAGCAAAAAAAAAAAAAAATGAAAAAAATCTTATTTATAACATTACTAATATAATTATTAATCCAAACTTATTAATACCAACCCATAATAGGAATATTAACCTAACCTTCTAACGACCTAAACTCGACCTAATACCCTCCTTCAAAATACCAATACATATCTTCATCTTATGTAAAATGGATAGAAGCTAGTGGTGGTCGACCCATAGCAATTCCATATGATATATCTGATTAAGAAATAGACTTTTACCTTTCGAAAATAAACGGGATAGTATTTCCCGGCGGCAATGCTTCTTTATGGGAATATGAACCTTCAGCAACTGGTTTTGCGAATATGACAATAACTGGTACAAAGATATTAAAAAAAGTAATATAAATGAATTAAAATGGGACATTTTTTCCTCTTTTAGGGACTTGTTTAGGCTACGAATTAATTGTATTGGGTTTAACTGGCAATGAAAAAGTTTTAGATCATTTAAATTCTACAAACCATGTTTTAAATACTCATGTTTTTTTGAATATTTCTAGTGTATATTCTTAATTTTAGCCTTCTAGTATTGATTATATTTAAAAGGGAAAGGCTCTTTTTTATAATCATAGATATGGATTATCTTTAAAGACATTTTTTGGGAATAAAATATTAAGTGAATTTTTTAATTTAAGTGCATTTTCAACAGATAGTAATGGCGTGAAATTTGTTTCTAGTTTAGAAGGAAAAGATTTTCCTGTTTTTGTAAATTAATTCCATCCGGAAAAAAACTCGTACGAATGGCTTGAAAGTGTTCATGCAAATCATTCAAAAGAAGCCGTTTTGGTTGGGTAAGAATTCGGGAATTGGTTTGTAGGGTTAGCAAGGCAAAATGGGAACGTTTTTGGGGAAAAAGAGGTTGTTTAGAAGTATTTTATTGAAAATTAAGAATTATTATTATTGGGAAATAATTTTGTTTCCATTTATATTTTGAAAAATAAAAATTTTACTAATATTAATAGTGAAGTTGCATATTGATATTTATTTTGTTTTTATGGTCTTTTAATTCATTTTTATATAAATAAAATATATATTTATATATGAAAATTTCATTATTTTACTTTTTAATTAAAAACTAATTAATAATTATTTTATAAAAAAAAAAAAATAGTCAAAAATAAATAATTAGATGGATATGTGTACTTTTATTTTATACAATCATATATAACGTAGTATATATATATATATATATATATATATATATATATATATATATATATATATATATATATATATATATATCATTTTATATATAATGATTTTTCTGCTTCTTTTATATATTTGTATTTTTAATTAATAAATAGATTGTTCATAATTATTTTTTGTTTCAGATCTATTTAAATTTTTTAATATAATCTTCATTAAATTCTTATAATATATTTATATTATTTATTGTTCTTTTTTTTCCTGAAAAAATACTATTTACTAATGGAATTTATTAAAATCTTTAATCAATATAATACTAGAGATCATCATATTCTAAACCTTCGTTTTAAAAGACCTGGACTAACTGATCTTTTACTTTTGTTATTTTGAGAATAAACATAATTATTATTATTAATATTATTATTATTATTATTATTATTATTAAAATTATTATTATTAAACATTTTTTATTTTATAAAATTGATATACAATATTTATATTTTATTAAAATAAATTTTTATATATTCACTTTTTAAATTTTTTTTTATATATTTAACTTTTTAAAAATTTAAATTAATATATTTTTTGTTAATAATATTAAGACTAGTAAAAAAATAAAAACTATTGTATTTTTATTATGAAACATAACTTAGATAGTTCAAATAAAAAATATTTATAAAATATTTTAAAAAATAAATAATGTTAAAGAAATAATTATATATAGAAGAAAAATATTTAATTAAATTAAATAATTTTAACAAATAAATAATATATATATATATCTATGAAAAAATTTATTACTTATGAAAAAAAACGAATTATTCGGATATTATATATAATATAAAAAAAATTTATATATATATAATATTAATAAATTATATTTTTATTATTATAAAATATTTTGTAAAAAATGTAATAAAAAAATTTAAATCCTTTATAAATTTAGTTTAATAAAAATAAAATATATAATATAATTAAAATAATAAAACTTTAAAAATTTTAGAAAATTTTTTTATTTTAACTAAATAAACCTAAAAATATATGAAAAAAATTACAGATAAATTTATATTTATATTTATATTTATATTTAAATTTATATTTATATTTATATTTATATTTATATATATATTTATAATTATATTATATAAGATTATAAAATATATATTTATATATATATATATAATTATTTTCTTATTTATTTATGTATATATGTATATATTTATATTTTTTTATTCAAGTATTATTAATTTTATCAATTAATTCTGTACCTCCTAATTCCATACAATAATTATATGCATTTCCTAGCTTTTATTTGGTTTTAACTAGATCCTTTTCTAAATACTTTATATCATTTTATAATTCTTTAATTTATTTTTCATATTATTCCACAAGTTTATTATTATTAATAAATTATTTTTCATTATTAGCTTTTTACATTTTAATTTAAATAAGCTCATCATTTATTTTTTTATAATCAGCTTCTAATTATTTATTTCCTGTACTTTTATTATTTAAAAGTTCTTTAATTTTTTTTAAAGTTATTCATTTTCTATTGATAATTTTGCAATTTCCTTATCTGAATTATTTCCTTAATTTTATGTATTTCCTTTAGAACTTTCTCTATTTTGCATTTACAAATTTTAAATTTCAATTTTTAGTTATTATATTTATTCATCATATTCTTCCTACATTTTTTTATTTTTTTCTTTCTATTATTTATATTTTTTGTAATTTTCTTCACTATTAGTATTCCCGAATTCTTCCTTTCTTTAATTTAATAATTCTCCTTCTAAACTAGATATTTTTTTACGCTTTTCTTCAATTTCTTTTTCTTTATTTTAAACTATTTCTTACATTTTTTGCATTTGTTTTTGGAAAATATCCTTAACATTTTATATTTCTTAATCACTATTTACTTATTACTTTACTTAAGTTTATAGATTTTATAATTTTTTAGTTAATGATGCCACTTATTTTTCTAATTCATTATTTTATCCTTCTAATTGGACTATTATTTCTTCTTGCTATAAAACCTATTTTTAATATTGTTAATTATCCCCTTCTTAGTTTTCATCGTTTTACTTTTAATGAATTATTTATAATACTCTGTCTTTTAATTCTTTTATTTTTTAGTCTTTCTATTCAATTTCTTTTTAATTATTAAGTTCAGTTTTTTATATATTTTAAGTTAAAAAATCAAGTTTTTATCTTAATTTTTAATTTTCAATTTCTAAAGTTTTTTACGAATGTTCAAATAATGATAAATTATTAGAATTTTCATCATTTTTTTAAATATTTTATTTCAAATCTTAAATATAATTATCTTTTTCAATAATTTACTTTCTTAAATTTTATTCTATTTAGCTTTTATCAGACTATAAAAAATAAAAAATAAAAAACTAAATAAAAATATAATTTAAATATTGTTAATAATTAAATATATAATATTTATATTATAGAATTTTAATATATAAGTAAAAATATTAAATAAATATAAATATATATATATATATATATATAAATATATATATAAATATATATTTTATATATACATACATATATACCTATATACATTCTTTTTACATATATATATTTTATATATTTATTACCGTATTCTCTGTTAATTGTGTATTTAAAGAATTTATTTGTAATTATAATTCTTATATTTTCTTTTAAAATTTAAAATTTTCATTTTCTGTTTTACTTTATTCATTTCTTAATCTGTTTATTTCTTCTTATTATAATTATATTTTTTCTAATCTTTTTTTTAATTCCATATCTGTTGTCTTTTTTTTTGTTAAAAAAAAACATCATCAAAATTTACTTTATTTTATGCACTCAAATTATCTTTTTCATCTTTTATAGAATCTTAAATATCAAGATTATCTTGATATTCTTTTCTTAAATTTTAATAATCAGAAACAAGCTATTTTTTTTATAAAAAGAAATATATATAAAATTTATATACATTTTTATGTTTATTTTCTAATTATTTAAATTATTATTATAACATTGTCATTTCTGATTGACATTTAGTATATAATTAAGTAGTTTCTTTTAATTTTTATTTAAGTTTTTCATTATCTAATGAATTTACAGTATTATTTTATTAATCTTAAGAATTATTTTAATATTAATTTTTTTTCAAAATATCATTTTCATTTTACAATTCAGTAATTTTTTTTTGGTATTAAAGAATTTAAAAATTTACTTAATTTAATTATAATTTTTATTATTATTATTATTATTATTATTATTATTATTATTATTATTATTATTAATTAGATTGTATTTATTATATTGTTTACTATTTATTTTTTAAATCATTAATTTTATTATCGCTCTTTTTTTACTTCTTCTTTTTATTCTTCTTCTTTTTAATCTTCTTCACTATCTAAATCAATTGCATTATTTTCATCATCTTCTTCTTCCTCTTCTTGTTTCTCAACATCTTATTTTTATAATTTTTATTAATTTTTTTAAATATAATTTTAAATATTATTATTTTAATCTTAAGGCTTTTTAGGAGATACAACATCGTTTTTTTATTATTTTAGTTATTAAATTTTTAATTAATATTCTTTTTATTTTTTTTCTTAATCTAAAATTCTTTATTTTTGTTCTTCTTCAGATTTTTGTTACAATTCTTATTATTTTCTTAATTATTAAGCTTGCTAATCTTTTAATTATTTTTATTTTTGTTAAAATTCTTTTTATTATTCATCTTCTTCTAAGATATTTTATTTTTATTTCTATATTTCTTAATTTAATTAAATTTATTATTATCTATTAAAGGAATTACAACTTTAATTATCATCATCTATGTTACTATTAAATTAAATATTTAAATAAATAAAAAATTATAAAATATATAAATTATAAAAAATTTATAAAATATAAAAAATATATAAAATATATTAAATATATAAAATATAAGAATAAAATAAGATATAAATATAAGAATATATTGATAATATAGAATATAATATAAATATGTAAATATAAATATATATAAAATATAAAAAATTAGTAAATATTTATAAATTAAATATAAATTTAAATATATATTTATATACATATATATTTATATATATTTATATTATATATTTAATTTTGTATATTTTTACTTTTTTTCTTAATTCATTTTACTTTATGGTTCTAATGATTTTTATACAATTCCTCTTATGTTATTTGATTTAAATGAATTTTCTCTATCTTTATCATTTTCACTTCTATTTTTTTTCTTATTTAAATATTTTTATTAAAAATATAAAAATTACATTTAAGAATCATTAATATCTCCTATTTTTAATACTGTTAAAATAATTTTTAATTCTGCTTTTTTATCTGGGCATTTTTATAATTTAAGTGTATATTCTTTATCTTAATATTATATTATTTAATTAGGAAATAATAATTTTGTTTTTATATATTACTAGTTTATTATTAATTAATTATTTCTGCTAAATTAATATCTGCAGTTCCTCCTACTTTATCTCCTTTATTAGTTTCTAATATAACTGTAAATGTACACTATATATTTTTTTTTATATATATATAAATATATATATATATATATATATATTATTTATATAAGTTTATATATAATTATTTTTACTAACTTCTCTTAATAGTCATTATCTTTTTTTTAATATAGTGTAGCATCTAAGGCTATAGTTTCCTCGAATTAAGCTTAACCTGTTCTATGATTTAATTATACACTTCTTGATGTTTATGTAACATGATTCCCTTTATTTATATTATAATATTAAAGTTTTTGAAATTTTTTATTTTTTTAATAAATTTGCCTCTTTTCCATATTATTTTTATAAAACATGGGACACCTAAATTTAAATTTAATTGCTTAATTTATGCTTCATATGAAAATTTAGTTGCTTTTGTGCCTATTCTTTTAAAGAATTTACTCATTTAATTAATTATATTTTTATTTAATTATACAATATTTTAATAAATAATATAATTTTTTTTTTAAAAAAAAATATATGTAATATTTTTTATTAATAAAAAAAAATTAAATAAATAAATTTTATTTTATAAATAAAATATTATGACTAATAATTTTTTTATTATAAAATAAAAATAATATGTTTTTATAAAAATAACATCAAATTTTAATTATGGTATATAGAATCACAAATATATATATATATAAAAATGTTATAGTTATCAATAAATTATTATAATTAAAAAAAAAAAAAAATATTAATTTAATAATAAACTTATAATATTATAATGTAAAAAAATCAATTATAATATAATTTATTAAAAATAATGTATTATAACTAAAATAGATATATTAAAATATATATTTTTTACTATTACTAATACTATATAAAATTTATTTTTTATTAAAAAGTAAATATTTGTTTTTTAAATTAAAAAAAAAAAACAAAACAAAACAAAAATGTATTCAATAGACTTATATCAAGTATTTAACACTGAAGATAAATTTTAAGGAACATTCAAATGAAACGAGTATATATTAACTAAAAGATTCCTTATAAAACAAGGCTAATGTATGAGAATATATTATACCAAAATGACTCCAATAAATTAATAAAAGAAAGCTTAATTATTAATTATACATGGATTTGGTGAGCATTCAGCAAAATTTTAAGATTTTTCAGAAAATTTGTATTAAATGGATATGAAGTTCACTTTATCGACTTAAGAAGTTTTGGTTATTCTGATAAGGCAAGAGGTACATCAAAATAGAAGGTAATATAAAAAAAAAAAAAAAATTATATAATAAATATAAATCTATATAAGATAAAAATATATATATATATATATATATATATATGTATTAGATATGATTAGTGATATCGAACTATGTATGAAATAAGCTGATGAAAATTTACCTTTATTTCTATTTTGGCATAGTTTAGGCTGCCTTTTAGTAACAAGTTTATGAATTAGAAATATTTATTTATAAATTGATAGCATTATTGTTAATTCTACACTTTTAGGATTACCTAAAGATTTATAATTGGATTTTTTGAAGGATTTTTTTTTTAAAACTTATTTGTGATTTTCAGGTGAAATTCCTTTATTTATTTTATTTTTTAATAAAATAAAAAAATATTTTTATTTAGGATGTTGTTGCTAATTATATGATTAATTTTTCTTCATTATCAAAAAATGATAGATTTCTAAGAACTGCACTAGAAGATAAACTTTTGATACCCTTTTTAGGTGCAAACATGGCTAAAAGTATGATTTGGTCTATTGAAATGATTTAAGAATAAGGCAAAGAGTTTTTTTATTCACTTCATATTATGCATGGTTGTAGTGATAATGTAACAAATCATTTAGATTCTATTAAATTTTTTAATAATTGATCGAGGTTATTATAATTATATTTTTATTTAATTTTTAATATTTTGTTTTAGCAAAATTAAAAAAATAAAAATCTTTGAAGGAAGATATCATTAATTATAACATGATGAAGAAGTTATATGAATTAAAAATTTAATGATAGATTAGATGGAAGAAATCAGAAAAAAAGCGAATTTATTAAATAAGAATTTCGTTATGTAATATAAGTCACATTTAAAAAATAAAGTAAACTTATAAATATATATATATATATATATATATATATATATATATATATATATATATATTTATATTTATATTTATATTTATATTTAATATAATTTTTTTTTTATTTTTTAGTAAAAAATTAAAAGAAGATTTTTCGGATTATTAATTTTAATTTTATATATTATTATTATAAAGAAGTAAATTTTCTTTACTTTATAAAAGTTTTATTTTATTTAGAATATGGAATAATTTTTAAGATGTCTCAAATATTAAAAAAATATTATTTCCTTTTTTTTTAAAGAAGTTCTTTTAATTTAAAAAATCTGTGGTTTGAAAAATATATAATATATTTATAAGTTTCATAAATTTTTATATATTTTAATAATTTGCTTATTATATTTTTTAATAAAAAAAAAAATTTACTTAATTATATACATTTTAAATAAGTGTATAAAATTATTTCATCAAAAATAAGATATTAATTTATTATTAAAAATAAAAAAAATATTATAATTAGATATATTTATATAAAAAATATAATGTATTTAAAATTATATATAAATTAATTATCAAAAATTTTTTAAAAAAAAATCTTATTAAAATAAAAAAAACTGAATAATAATTTTATAATTTATAGTGTCTTATAAAAATAAAATATAAATAAAATAAAAATAGAAAATATTAATTATAAATAAAAATTATATATTAATAATATAAATATATATATATATATATATATATATATATATATATATATATATATATAATATAGAATAAATTTATAATTTTTTTATATACAAATTTATTTTTTAAAAAATAAAATAATATTTATTATATATAATATTTTTTACAAATTTTATTATTTATATAATATTAATATGAATATTTATAAAATTTATTATTTTTAATTTTTTCATTTTTATATATTCTATATATTTAAATGCATATTAATTAATTCGTTAGATATAACACTAATATTTTCTTCGCCTTCTTTTTATATATTAAAATTAATATTTTATTAAAATGTTTCCTTTAATTATATACTTTCCTCAAATATAATTAAATTATTCTATATTTAAAACATATTAACTAATTAAAAGTCCTATTAATCGTATTCTTAAAAATCTAAATACACATTATTTTCTATTTTATCATTTTAATTTTAACTTAATGAATCACATTCCTAAATATTGATAGCTGCAATAACCTAATAATTACTTCTATGAATATTTTTAATATCTATTTAAAGTATTTTTTAAATTTATTTTCTACATAAATAACATTCATTAGAATTTTATACTATATCAACAGAACATTAAATACAAACACCTATTTTATTAAATATTAGAAAATATTAATTATTTAAATAAATATAGATATATATAAAAAAAATATAAATAAATAAATATTTATATTTATATATTTATAATTTTTATTTATATATTTATATATTTATATTTTTTTATATATATTTATATATATAATAAAAATCTTACCTCCATGTCCACAAGGAATATATACCGAATTAGGAGGTTTTCCAAAACAAATCAAACAATAAACATTATTTGAATTTAAAGAACTATCATCTTTCCATTTTTTTTTTGAAATTATAGTTTCGTATGATTAAGCTTTTTATATTTCATTTTTTTATATATATTATTAGTTTATGTCAGTTTGCAAATATTGAAATATATTTTTTTCTTTAATTGGAATTTTTTCTTTATTTATTTTGTTTTCTTTAATAATTTTATTTTAATTTTTTTTTTATAGTTTAATCTTGCTTATTTATTATGAATATCAAGACTTGATGAACCTTATAATATTATTTTTTAAAATTTTATTATTTTATTTACTTAAAATTTGTTTTTTTTATTAGAAAATTTTAATATTTTAAATTTATATATATATATATATATATATATATATATATATATATATATATATATATATATATATATATATATATATATATATTATTTTATTTACTAAAAAAAATGGAAAATTTATTATTTTTCTTGTTAATTTGTATTTATTTAATATATTTAAAGTAGGAATTTATTATTATTAAATTTCCTATTATTATAAATAGTTAACATTTTAACCTAATAATTCTTAACTTATAATTTACAACTAAATATTATTATTAATATTAATTATTTAATCTTATTATTAATCTTTATTAATATTATTTTCAAAAATTGATTTATAAAAAAAATCTTTTTTTAAAACAATAAATAATATTAAAATATTAATTTTATAATCTTTTTTATTTTATTACGTTATTTCTTTATATTAATAAAAAGTATAAAATATAAACAAAATTAAATATATACAACCATAATTAAAAGCAAAAATTGCATCTTATATGTTATTTTCTTAATAAATTTGAATAAATCCATTTACATATAAAGTATTATTTATTGTGTTTCCATTAATTAATATAAAGATCCAAAAAAATCCTTTCACTTTATCATTTTTTTTTAATTAAAAAAAAATTATTAATAATTTTTTTTTATTTAAATACTTTATTACATTATTTAATATCATATTCATCATTTGTAACTTATTTATAATAGCATTTTAAAAATAAAAACAATATATTTCCTATATTTAATGTTACCATTATACAAATATAAATCCAATATACAAAAAACAATTATCGCCAAC